TTGGATTCATTGACCCGGCTCAGAAATCTGTTGACTTCCACTTTTCAGTTGTGACATGTTTATTGTGTTCCTGCTCACTCGTTTCAATAAATCATCTTTCTATGACCGTCAGTTTGTCACATTACACAAGATAAATCTTTCTGTTCTCTGCTTTTAAAAAGACATAAAGAGGGGCGCTGGTGGAACAGTGGGTAGTGCCTGCACCCCACATATGGAGGCTATAGTCCTCCAAGCGAGCGGCCCGGGTTCAAATCCAAACTATGGCTCCCTTGGCTCTCACTGATTTCCAATTCTCCTATCTCTCCAATAAAGACACAAAAGCCCCCCCCCCCCCAAACAAGAACAAACAAAAGACATAAAGCTAAACAAAATCATCAATAAGGAAATCATCAGTTACATCATCAGTTGACTGAGCGAATGCTAAATTTACCTGTTGACTTGGATGTTATCTCACTGATAACATGCCTGATAATGAAGTGTGAAGCATGCTGGGAGACTCTTGTCAGCCAATCAGATCAGCTTTACTACAACGTCCGCTTCATTCTTAAACAAAACGAATGCGTATTGTCTCATTCCTTCAAACACTAAAGAAAATGTTCATGTTTGGAGGCTAGACATCAAACAAGGACTTATGTTGTAATCCTAAAAAAAAAAAAAAAAAAAAAAAAAAATGCTATATTTAAGGAACACATTTAACCCCACGGACTGAAAATAAACACCAGTGGGCTTTTCATTTTCTAGGAACAAACTGTGCATTAACATGACTGTTTATAATTAACAACTGGACCTCTTTTCAACCAACCAATGAGCTCAGCCGGCAGTGGCCTGTGTGCCGAATCTGCTCAGGTTTTGATAAACCACCTGGGAGTTCATGTGGAGCGAAAACCTCACCCTCTGTGTGACACAAATAACAGCTATGTGTGTGTGTGTGTGTGTGTGTGAGGCGGGGGGAGAGAGAGAGAGAGAGAGAGAGAGAGAGAGAGAGGAGGCTGCTATTGTGTGAGAATGTGAATTAGGTCAAATGTTTGCTTGCAACAACGATTAACCATGCCCCTGTGAGGAAGAAAGCGCTGAAGCCTGTATGGAAGAGGAGGCTCTGTCTTTATCTGAGCCACGCCGCCTCTGATACAAACACCGCCTGACATTATTCACACCAAATTAGTGGATAATTATAATTTCTTGTGATCACATTATTCACATCCTCTACAGAAGCTTTTGGCAGAGAGAGGGGAACCTTGAAACGAGCTGAAAAAAACAACAACAGAAAAGGCTGAAAGTTGAAAGAGAATCACAGTTTTTCTAATCACGTTTTTATTTTGTGTGTGTGTGTCTGTGTTTGTGTGTGTGTGTATGTGTGTGTGTGTGTGTGTGTGTGTGTGTGTGGTGTGTGTGTGTGTGTGCGTGCGCGCTCTGTTTGGAGCAATAAAGAAATCATGCATGTCGTTGCCGTGTGTCAGGGGAGGTTGTGTGAGTGTGTGGCTCATGATGGCACCCACTCAGGAGGCATCAATCACAGCTGGGTGACGGTTCTCAAACTGCAGAGATGCTCATGACAACAGGTTACAAATGAAGAGAGAAGAGGGCCATGCAGGGTGTGAACTCGCTTTTCTTTTCTTTTTTTTTTAAAATGCCCATGCAGGGAGCGGGTGGAAGCAGAATAAGAGGAATTTCAAGCTGATGCAGCGTGCTTTTTGTCAGGGGTTTTGTTTCATTACGCCTTTAGCAACTCTGATTTTTTTGTTCATTAATCATCAAAGGGTTTCCGATTCATTTCCAGATCAAAGTGAGGCTGGTGGAGGATGCTGTGTCCCTGAGGTCAGCTGGCAACTTACACGACAAAGCCACATCCCCACACCCCCCCCCCACCCCCCCTATTTATGAGTACAGGGGATGGAGGAGGGGAGGGTGGAGAGGGGACTGCAAATGTTAACGGAAGGTCTAACGTTAATTATCGTTATGCTCCACAGACGGCAGGGACGATGCACAAGGCAGGGGAATCATGATCGGAGGATCTCTGCACTTTCCTCCCTGCAAATCACAACGACTTTCTCTGATGAATGCGCTCCTGTTGGGGCTTAAATCGTGAAATAATTCAATGCAGTATAACAGCTAAAAGGTGGGGAGCACACGTGTCTGTGTTCAATGTATGAGCAGAGAAGATAAGCACAAAGGGGGAAAAAAACGCACAGGAGACGTGTTTCATGTTTGAATGGAGGATGGTGTGTGCAGCTTATCGACCTGAATCTATAGACACATATGAATGATCCCCCCCCCCCCCCCCCCCCCCCCCCCCTCCAGCCTGTCACATAGCCACGGGCACAGAGCATTGCGCTATAGCATCCCTGTACTCACTCAGATGAGGGGTTTTGGGAGGCGCAGCGTCAACCCTGGTCGCTTCCTTCAGCTTCCACTCGGACCAGGCGCAGCATAATCAACCAAAAGCGAGTTGCCTTCTGTGGGGTTCACAAAACACAAATGCAGCATATTTTGCATGTGACATCCTCCGAGCAGCGCGTTGACCCTCTTGTGCGCCCCTGTCCGCGCTCCTCTGCTTCCCCCCCCCAAAAAAAAGCCAGCAAAGGAGGCTACAAAAAGTGCCCGCGTCCTCCCTCTGATGCCGCTGCTGTATCTCCAATTTTATGTCCAAGAGTCTAGTTTTTCCTCCTCCACAGTCCCTCAAGCCCCCTCCATCTGTACTCGCATCCCCTCGGCTCAGCTACTGTGCTTCCATGTGACACAGGCAGAGCTGGAGACCCCCCCAATCTTTTGCGCTTCGTCTTTTGATTCTAGCGTCATCGCTCGGCAGGACGGGGAAGTGCGGGTGATAAATGAGCTGAATCCGGTCTGAGAGGATTTTAAATACACTATAAGGTGCACGAGGATGTGCTTATCAGAGAAGGATATAAAAAAAAAATGGATTTCGCATTTTGAAGTCTCAGCTAGGTCTAAATTACACTGGCAGGTTCTGCTTTTAGACAGGAAAATAAAAAAATAACCTGTTGAAATTGTCTCCCTCCCCCCCCCCTGATGTTTGCCTTAATTGGTCACATTAAACATGTGTTTGTGGTAAAATCGTCGAAATAATAATAGGAACTTCTGCCACTTATTCCCAGTGTGACCCAACATGTTTAGATTTCCGCTTCTATTAATGTTTGGGCCAAATGCAGGTGAACTGACAGACTGCATTAGATATTTTTTTTGGCTTGTTTATAGGTTAAAGGTTGTCCAGATGTTAAACTAGGCCAATTGTTTTTTTTTAGTGTGGCTGCTTTTAACCTTGCCACTCTCACACACCTTTACCTCCAGCTCTCTACCTCCACCTACCGGCCACTCCTGAACATCGTTGAGGTGTGACCACCTATCAGGGTGAAGACGACGGTGTTGCTGTATGAGGGATGATATGTGCCACAGTGAGGGAGAAACCTAGAAGGACATGAGAGAGGTGTTTAAAGGCAGTGGTTCTCAAACTTTTTAGACTGGCGAGCATAAATTAAAGCAGATGAAAGTTGTTTGTTGCAAAAACTAGATTAATTTAGAGGGGAAAACACATTTGATATAAATACAACCATAGATACAAGCTAGATAAGAGTACGACATGCTTCTTTTGAGAACTCGTTATATGCTGAACACGTTTGATTTTTATATTGTAGAGATTTCTTTGCGTACCACCACAGGGAGCCCACGTACGCTACCATGGTTTGAGAACCACTGTTTTAAGGGATTAAATTGGATACTTTCCTGATTAGAAAAATGGCAATATCATGATTTTTATTTGATTTTTTTATCATTAGACTTATCAGAACATGTATAAGAAAGTGTTATAGTTTTACAGATCCAGAGAAAGAGGATGTAAAAATCATCATACTGTGAAATGAGACACTGCTGCGTGTTTCCCAGGTTCTGTCAGTCTGTGTCATTTGTTTATTTTTGGTGTTGAAGGCACTAACAAGTAATCATCCTGCCTACTGGGGGTCAAGTTAGAAATGTTAATATTATTAAAATCTTGTCCGAAGATTGGAGTGTGATGATCTTTGAAATCCTGAAAACATAAACTCTGTAATGAATCGCTGCCATCATTACACCTTAAAACATCTTGATTCTGCAACTGGATTCAACACTGTTTGATATAATGGCTGAGGCTAATTGTGTAATTGTCTATCCCTGTAGATTACAGAAAGTGCAGAAAGTCATGGGACCCAAGTTATGTCTGAAGCTTAAATACAACTTAAAAACTCAATTTTACACCCAAAGTTGTCTGTAAAACAAGCTTTCTTTGTCACGTTTATGACTGCCTTTGGTTTCAACACCAGCAATCTGCTTGTCTCAACGTGTCGTCTGTGATGGGGAGCCATAACTGAACGATGTTTTACAACAGTGCAGTTGCACTCAGAGACCTTCGGTAGGCGCCAAAAGCACCCCTTACCAAATTCATACACTATGTTGTTTTAAGGTATCATCTCATGAGACTTTATGTTTATACATTCTTGATTAATCTACTTTAAGTGCTCTTTATGTGGAAAACTCTGCTACAAAGACATACTTTCTATAACTTTTATATTTAACACTAAAATTAGGTAGAATAAAATAAAAATAATTTGAAGCTGTACTTCCTTAAAGTGTTTCATTATATACTTTTAAAGCATGTCGAAAATATTTATTCAGAAAAATGCATGTGACACAAATGAAGAAAAGCTCAGTGAACTTTAGGAAAGTATCATTTAAAACAAACAGCGCTGTTGCAGCTTTATGTTCAAATCAGGTTACAGACATGAAAACCTAATTTCAACATTTTCAACCAAATTTGAACACTGAAATCACGGGATGTTCACCTGGTGGCTTAACAATTGAACCACATGTTAACATACCATCTGAGCAGGCAGAACCCAGAGCCTGGTGATGTCCCTCGGGGGTTCCCCCTCTTCAGCTCGTCGTGGCACTGATCGCCCCTCATACAGCCTCCCCTCCCCCCTCTCCGTAGTTTCCACGCAGCAGCAGGGGCCGCATACGTGTTTTCCTCATGAGGTGAAGTGCACTTTGCGTTTCCTCTCACGTCTGGCAATGGACCCAAAGCTTCGCAGGGTTTTCCCTTGTGTTTGAGCGATTTTTAAAAAAAGTCAGATTTCTTAACTGTTGTTATCTTCACCCTCATCCTCCTCCTCCTCCTCCTCCTCATCAGAGCCAGAGAGAAGAAAGATGGGCTGCTGCTCGGCACGATGCATGCTGATCCTCCTGTGCTGTGTGCAGTTGGTAAGATGTTTTTTTCTCATACTCATTCATTGATGATGTTAACTGATAAACACATGCTGTTTTCAGATCTCTAAGAGAGCACATTACATTCATTTAAAACGATTTAAAACCCTAATCTAACACCAGAGAAAACCTTGTTTACTGATTTGTTATAAAAGTTATTGTTGTACTTTTTGCATCAAGTTTTTTTTTATCTGAAACAATCTAAAACATTTTTTTTTTTTTTTATAACAGGCTGTAATAATTAAATATAAACCAACTTGAATTTCTGTTCAACTGTGGTGTTTTATTTGACGACCTTCCACTCACACTGTTATCATAAAGGCAGGTGACACATTACTGTCTAGTAATAACTTTAAACTGGAATAAAACACAAACGAAACAGAAGGTGAGTCCCCTTAACTATTAATATTAACATAAAGTAAACATTTAAGGTAACTGTTTGATGTTTGGGTGCAGTTTTTTAAGCTCAAATGATAACATTTACCTTATTTCAGCTTCTCAAATGTAAATTCTCAGACGTTTCCTTTATGTTCTGTCTGAGGAAACTGAATATTTTGGGGTTTTGGATTATTAAAAACAGACCAAACAAACATCAGATGGTGTCATCATGGACTCTGGGATGTAATGTTGGCTATTCGTCACATTTATTAGACAAAGCCATGAGAGTATAAAGTGATACTGAAAATATTTGTAGTATTTTAAACCTGTTTGTCTTCTATCATGTTAATAGCAAGTTTACTGCAGTTGGAAGTGCTAATAAAAAGCAGTGACCGCCCCCCCACCACTATAACCACCACAATGAAGGGTTGCAGCCACTTTGTCCTCTTCCTCCTCTGTGTTTCCCACCCTGCCCCCCCATCATGACAACCGGAGCTTTGACCTCAAAGGACACAACATTAGAGCCACCAGTCTGTCTGCGCTACCCAGCATGCTTTGTCCCCCATGGCTCAGTTGCCTTGACAACTTAAAAGAAATGAAAAACACAAACTTTTGGGACGCAAAGCAAGCCTCAGCGACGCACTCATTTCAGTCTTTTATAATTCATGATTTCTGCCTAGGTTTTTTAAATTCTGCTTCCTTCTTGTCGTCTCTACAGATCACAGCGCTGGAGCGGCAGGTGTTTGACTTCCTCGGCTACCAATGGGCTCCCATCATGATCAACTTCTTCCACATCATCATGGTCATCCTCGGCCTGTTTGGGGTCATCCAGTACAGAACACGTTATGTTGTTATGGTAAGGAAACTGTCTGTGTTACAGCCAGAGAGACAATCAGGTTTATTTTAGCATATTTTGCCTCATTTTAATATTTCTGTAGTTACAAGTCTTTACTTTGGATTTTTAGTATTTCATTGTATTTCATCTTTATCCTACATTGATATATCGTTTGTGTTCATCTATCAGATCAGGATGGATATCTCTGCTCCCGTTATTTGTCATGTTTTGCCAAATTGATGCTGCTGTCGTCAAGTGCAGCTAATTGCAGTAAATTTCCTAACACCAATCTCCAATGTTGAAAAATGAATCCAATGCTTGCACAGTGCAAAAATCTGCAATTCCTCAAGTGACCACTTGAGGCATGCTGCATAAACCCCGATGTTTTCATCCATTTTAAAATGCCCATTTTGACTACAGAAACAAACATGTTTATTACCTAGTTCAAAAAACAAATCTAGTCTCAATAGTAATTTATTTGTTAAAACTTTTTATTAAACTCATCTGTCATTCTTAAATTGAGTTTAAGAGTTACGCGTAATAAGGGGTGTGGCTGATCTGATCAGCCTCAGCACTAAGTCTTTACCTGTTGTTAGGTTGACCAAAAGTTAGCGTGAGATAGCATTTCCCACATTGCAATCTTTGGGCTTCAAAAGTCTGCTTCAGAAACCAATGAGTGATGTCACTGAGAAAACGTCCATGTTGTATACAACAAATTAGAGCACCCGTTGACACATGCTCTGGGGCTCACCATGACTGTGTTCAGAGTTCTTTGCTTTCGTTTCTCAGTACCTGCTGTGGACGATGTTGTGGGTCGGCTGGAATGTCTTCGTGAGCTGTCTCTACCTGGATCTGGGAGGGCTTTCAAAGGTGAGTCTAATGTTTAGTGTCGGGTAATTAAAGGCCCACACATCCTCTGCTCCAAAACACAGGGTTCACGTCTTCTATTCTAACACACCAAATGTTTAGTGGCATGACGTCACACATGTTTGCTCATCTCTCAGTTAATATAATAATCCCATTTTATCAGTTCTAGTATTTTGAATGGAGGTATGTCTTTATAAATCAAGTAAAAATGCAAACATTGTTTATTCTAAGCTTTATGAAAACAACCTTTTTAGTCATCAGCCTACAATTAAAATACTTGTTTTAAGACAAGGTGAGTTTATTTATAAAGAACCTCTCAGAGCTATCCACAGTGCTCCACAGAGTCAAAAACAGAACTATAGAAATGTGACGTTAAACTAAAATAAGACTTTCAATACAAAACATAAACAAGTACGAGATCAATTTAAAATGTGACGAGAACTTAAATCAAAATAATTCAACCAAATTAGATAAGAAGTGGTTGAACTAATGGGAAGGCAGCAGTAAATAAAAATGTATTAAGACCTGTTTTTAAAGAGCGTACAGTTATGTACAGTTATTTGTTTTTGGGCTTACACGTAGAGACAGGACAGTAGATGGAGTCAGAAATCAGGGACAGACATAGTGGGGAAAGACATGCAGGAAAAAGAGCCATGGATCCGAACCTGGGCCTGCCACCTCGAGGACCACAGCCTCTGTACATGGGGCGCACACACGAACCACTTGGCCACCGGCGCCCCCCAGGCTGACAAACGTTTAACTGAAAAGCTTCCTGAGGAAATAGTTTTAAAACATCTTATCAACTCTGATCAGCTGTGTTCTTCATCTGGTTTGTTTTGTAATGATCTAAAGTGAGAAACTCAAAGACCGGGCAGGGTAGTTGTACATTTGAATTGAATGACACGAGCGAACAGGAGGTCACTGGAACCAAAAGGCCTCGCAGACTGAATCCAGAAGATGTGAGATTTTTTTTAATGATGACTCTTTGGGACAGGAGCGTCATATTACTGTGAATGATTTTAAAAATGTAAACGTTATAAATGGGAGAGAAGAGAATTCATAGAAGTTCTCTGTTGAAATGATGCTTTAAAACTCACATAAGATAATAGCTGTTTAATGACAGAGGTATGCTTTAAAGAATGTGAGTAACATTTCTAATAAGTTTGTGCAATTCAGCTGTGCAATATTTTTTTCTATTATCTTATGTTGTGTTTGCGCTCCATGTAAATATAAAATGGTCTCACGTATACTTTTAGAACAGTTTAGAATGAATTCTCTTCTCCTACCTTCTCCCTGTTTTCCAGCTTTGTCTGTTATTACCAGTATCTGGACTTCATCACATCATTCATAACTGCAGTAAAGCATTAGATCTCCATATCATTATAAACCGCTATAAAAAATAAAAATAAAAAACATATTAAATGAAATTAGATAAATGTTTGTCTTGTTAAAAAGATATATTCATCAGTAGGAGCCTCTGACACGCGCTTAAGCATGTCGTGTTTACACTACACCCGATCCTTGTTGCAGATCCGATTTCTCCTCCATCTTTTTATAGCTGTGAATTGATACTCTCTGCTGCATATAATCCATTAAAGCAGGAGTATCTTAATAGCTGACACCACATTTAATCTGCCTGTTTTGTCCGTGCAGGAGAGCGACATACTCACCCTGGGAGTATCTTCACATCGCTCATGGTGGAGGGACAACGGGCCGGGCTGTGAGAGCGAGGGTCTTCCCTCCGCTGGGTGGCAGAACCAGCAGAACCCGGAGCTGAGCACCGTGCTGAGCTGCTGGTTAGAGTACCAATACATCGAAATCCTGCACTGCATCGTCCAGCTCCTCGTTTCTGTGAGTCTCGTCACTGCTGGGTTGTCAAACTTAATCTCTGTTATATGTTATACTTACACCACGCTGTACAGAACACAGGGAACAAGTTAAAGGTCTGCACTGAGAATGTTGCTGAATGTTGCTTTTGTCATAAAAACAACAACAAAATAACAACAAAAGGGAGTTTGAGCAGCTCTTTGGCAGAAGCAGCATGGACTGAGACAGCGGCATTAAGGCAAAACTTAAGAACACATTGAAGCTAGAGTATGTGAGTATTATAAGGAAATTAAAGATTAAAATGTAAACCGAAATGAATTCATAAAAACTCCTTTAAACTTGAGGATCGATGGGTTCTCTTTGCACAGCTGTCCTCCTGGTCCAGTGCGCAGCTAGAGCAAGAAACAGACAGCTCTCAAGATCACAGTACACAACAGTGCACAACAGGATTGTTCACATAGACTTTAAAGTTGAATGTACATAATACATTGGAATAACAACACGTTTCACATTGTAGCTTCCTCAGGTTTGCTCTATATAAACTGTTTTATCATTTATTAAAATGATTGATAGTCAAATCAGAAAATGTTTATAACAGTGACTTCGATTATTGTTAATTGGACAACAATTGATTTCAGTTTCAGCTGAACTTATAAAATATACCATTTAAAAAACTTCTTCTGATGTTTTGTCTGTAAAAATCTGTTTTTGTAAAGTAACTGAAGCTGTCAGCTAAACACAAACAAACAGAAAGTACAAAATCTTCCTCTGAAAAGTAACATAGTACAAACTGGAGGTGGCATGAAAAGAAATGCTTGACGTACCAGAACAAATACCTCAGACTTCAGTGTTTGACTAAATGTACTTTGTTACATGTCAGCACTCATACATGTCTGTTTAAATTCAGTGACCTAAAACAAGTCAGAATGACAAAGAAACGACTCATTAATGCTGAAAAAAACCTTCACTGAGAAGCATATTAACCATCTAATATTGTTTTAATATTACATCTGCCCACTCCCGAAAGAACTGTTGCTTAGCAACAGCAACAGGCCTGGAACATTTAAAAACGGCACAGCATTATTGAATCAAACCCCGATGGTAGTAAAGTGAATGCTCCTTGTTATTTATTGAAGCTAATCTTCCTTCAGATGTTAAAAAGCATCTCAAGGGGAATCAGCGTGTTTAAACATCCTTTATATGCAGATGAACTCTTTCTGTAGGCCTGAGGTTTGTCTATCCACACTTTATAACATTCAGCTCATCACACAGATCAACACATACACAAGTACATGTTCTAAAAAAGTACTCACAAAAACAAAACAGGATAAAAGGCCAAATAGCCTGTGATATCAATCTGATGCTTGACTTGGCTACAGATCATTTCACTTGTATTATAAAGGAATACATCGAGTTTTCCTCTCATTGCAAATATGAGATTTATAGATCTGCAGACACAAAACACAGACCTACACAGGTTTTTCTAAAAATGTGATTCAAACAACTAAATGGCACTAAGCTATCATTTATTTGATTATTTACACCTGTGCTTTTCCATGTCATATAGAATAGAAAGTCTATTTATAAGCACATGTCATTATATATCAATATCCTGATCAATCTTTGATGTGATGTGCTGATTAATTGTTTCCTCAGTATGCTTTGGGACAAGCGATGTGCTTTTATGACATAGAAGACACGACAAAGAACAAACTGTTTTACTGTGAAAGATGAACATTTAGACATGTTTGTGTTCATCTCTACAGCTCCTGGGCTTCGTTTACGCCTGCTATATCGTCAGCACTTCCTCAGATGAAGAAGACAGCTGTGAGTATGATGCTGATCAATAATGGAAACACTGTACGGAAAAAAATATTTAGTTTGCATCTTTTATCCATTTTTACAACATTGCATGTATTACATCCCATTGAAAAATACATTTATGACAACGCATTTGCATTTTCTGTTAGCTTTTTTCACCGTGAGGTAGATTTGCTTTAACTTGTTTATTTATTTATGTTCTTTCCTGCTCATTGTAGTTAATTTCATTGGTGAATTTCATCATCCATCCAAACCCTCTCAGTTGTTCTTCTAGTGTGAAGAACTGCAGGTAGGTTCAGTGACATGATTTCTAATATATCTCTTTTGCACCCATCCATCTTGTAACTTCAGTATCTTACATATGACCATTTTTTCTGCATTTCTTTTCTTAGATTATAAGTAACGACAAAGGTAAAGCAGTTGAGGACACTTGGAGAAGGAGCCCTGCAGAAGCGGAGACGGCTTTTTGTCTTGAGGACTGTCATTGTTTGGCTGCTTTGGTCTGGGTTGTCAGTAAAACATCAGTCCCCAGATGTTGAACTACACTGTGCACACACTGTACGCAACGGCACGAGTCGAGAAGGGAGTTTTCCAGATTATCACTGTGTTGAAAGTGTAGGCTATGCCTTATACATAATAGCCTACCAGTTTTTTAAGCATTGCATACTAAAAATCTACCTCTCTGTGTTTGTCTGTGAGTTTGTATACACTTGTTTATGTAAGAGATAAGTAACCACTACATAATAAGCACTGGAGTACGAAAAGGAAGTGATAGAAAGTAGGAACTTTTTATGTTTTGTAAAATGTATAAATTATTGAAATATTGTAATTTCAATTAGAAAATGTAACCATCCCAACTGGTGTAAATGTGTGCTATGATTAAGTTGAATAAAGCTCATCTACAATACTTCTTGTCATGGAGGGTTGCGAACAGTTCTTTATAATTGAAACGTTTAAGTTAATTGACGGGTGAATGCTAAATGCTGTTTTTACATTACGCTCATGAATCTGTTGATTTTAAGATAATACGCTTTTTAGAGTTTTTTTTATTTATTTTTTAATTATTTTTATTAACATTTTTATGACATCACAATACAAACAGGAGTGAAAACCCACAACCCAATCCATGGACATACCCCCCCCCTCACCCCAGAACACACAAACAAACACACACACACACTCACAACCAGAGAGGAGGTACACATATTACAAATAGTTCATCTAAACCCTGTGCCAAGAACACAAAAGCACACATATCATTACACATCATCAACGTGTTAGTGCTACATCCAAGCTGTCCGCAATAGAAATGCCCATAAATAAAACAAGAAAGAATCCATACAGGTACAAACTTTTTAGAGTTTTTTAAAAGCACTTTTTAAAAAGTTTTTTTTTGTTTGTTTTCAACTGCTAAATAATAAATAAAAAAAATGTGAACGAGTAAAACGGGAATGTGCCAAACTTTTTTTTTTTTTAATGCGTCGTTTACGTCACAGACGTCATTTCCGCCCGCCAGAACCCCGGATGAAACTGCCATTGGGGCAAATGAGCAGGGCCACCGAGGCTGGTTGGATTTTAATATAACGGAGAGGGGGGTCGGAGCGGATTGAAGCCCAGCTGGATTAATGTCGACAGGACAGTGCGGAGCGCCAGCAGGGCTACGACGAGCGAACTACCCGCGCCGAGCAGAGACCCCGGTTAACGGCGTGGAGCTGACTGTGTTTGACTGTTAGCAGCGGAGCAGCTTCTCCAGCCATTAGCCTGTCCACACATCACACACTGCACGGCTTGTCAGGGCTTCAGACTGACACAACACCTGCTGGATGAATGATGTCTGCCGCTAGCATTGACCCTCAGGTAAGCAGCCCGCAAGAAAAACTCGTCTTTTTATTATTATTATTTATTTATTTCCACGGTGAGGCGAGATGTGCGGTGTGTGCATCACCACCACCACCAGCTAGTCAGCTAGTTAGCAAACTGAGAGGAGGTTAGCTTGAAAACTGGCCCCTGCTGGTTACAGAAGGCCTGGACCACAGCTACCATTAAAGCACCTGACTGGGGAAATATTTGCACAACATACCCGCCCAGCATCTCTTAAATGTGTCAGGCAGGTTATCAGAGGACGTCGTTTACAGATGTTAATGTGCAGCCAGGATCATGTGTGATGCTTTGAAAAACATATAAGCAAGTTTTCTTTTTTTTTTGTTCCCCTCCTTTCACATGCATCCCCCCCCCCTCTTTTTAATTTGACCACTAAGACATCGAAAGGACAAGATGCAAGCAAAGGTAAGAGGAAAATCTTTCTTTTTGAACCTTCAGATGTTTTTATAAAGATGCCAAGCTTAGCTCCTTTTTTTTTTTTTAGCACACATAACACATCTGACATCATTATGTTGTTGCTCTTATGTCAACAGAGAAACTACAACTGTGTACATACATTTTACTATTTTTTTGTTCCTCACATTTAATTGTTTATTTTGGAGCTTTTTTTTTAAAGTTGTGTAGTAAAACAGTTTATCTTACACATTTAAAAGATCAGCAGCTCTAAAGGTTACTTTAATTCAAAAGGCCATTATTCTGACACAAACAGGAAAACCTTTTTTTTTTTTCTTTAATTGTTATACAACACCGAACAATAATCATGTGATCCACACTTGAACCCCTTTTTGTGCACCTTCTGGTGATCTGTTTACTTTCTTTAACCGCAGCTTGGATAACTAAAAGGCGTAGGATGTTGCTGTCATAACTTACACTGAGTAATTATTTAAGACTTCATGACTGCGTCATAAAGATCCTTATGTCAACAGAGAAACTACAACTGTGTAAATACATTTTAGTTTTTTGTTCCTCACATTTAATTGTTTATTTTGTAGCTTTTTTTTTTTAATTGTGCAGTAAAATAGTTTATCTTTGGTAAACACCTTAAACATTCAAAAGATCAGCAGCTCTAAAGGTTACTTTATTTCAAAAAGCCACTATTCTGACACAAACAGGAAAACCTTTTTTTTAAATTATTATCGTTAAACAACCCCAAACAACAGTGTAAGAGCAGAATATCAATACAGCGACTCAACTAGCTGATTGGTACTGCACAGACAACGGCTCCGAAATGACCTCACTAGCGCAATACAGCAGTGATGTTTTGGCTTCACTTCTAGGAGAGGAGGTGGAGACATGTTGTCCATCTTTATATATCTTTAAATTCAGGGCGTGAATTGGAAATTGTTAGATATCAAAATGGTTAAAATATTTTTTAACGAAGCTGATGTCCCCCTACATTGTGTTCTTTTTTTCTGTCCCATAGAAATGTGAAATATTATCTGAGTTTTATGATAAAACGGTTTCGTCCTCAAACCTAAAATCAATAAATCACAGAATAAATGAGCGCTCAAGGATGTAGATGAATTAAAAGGATGCTAGATGTGCTCATGTGATCCACACTTGAACCCCTTTTTGTGCACCTTCTGGTGATCTGTTTACTTTCTTTTAACCGGCGTAGGCTGTTGCTATCATAACTTATACTAAGTAATTATTTAAGACTTCATGACTGCATCTTAAAGATATTTTGAGGTTGTTTTTTTTGTTAACAGTCAGATGTCCAGCGTTGATAGCAGTTTGATGTTATTGCAGGCTTTCCAGTCTCTGTGCAGAATGGCTCCCTCCACCAGAAGGATACAGTCCATGACAATGACTTTGAGCCTTATCTCACCGGCCAGTCTAATCAGGTAGAAAACATCTTTCTGTCTTTTCATATAAATTATTATTACATCTTGTATTTTAACATAATATTATTTTCCTTTTTGTAGAATAACAGCTATCAGTCCATGACAGACCCTTACCTGTCCAGCTACTATGCCCCCTCCATTGGATTTCCTTACCCCCTCAGTGAGGCTCCTTGGTCTACTGGAGGCGACCCGCCTATTCCCTACCTGACACCCTACGCCCCCCTCAGCAATGGAGACCACCACTTCATGCACGACACGGTGTTCGGGCAGCCGGGCGGGCTCAGCAGCAGCATCTATCCTCACAGGTTTAACTTTTTCCCAGAGAACCCGGCCTTCTCCACCTGGGGCACCAGCGGCTCTCAGGGGCAGCAGACTCAGAGCTCGGCCTACGGGGGGAGTTACAGTTACCCACCTAGCTCACTAGGAGGCACTCTGGTCCCTGATGGCCAGACTGGTTTCCATAGCGACACCCTGAGCAAGGCTCCAGGTATGAACAGCCTGGAGCAGGGCATGCTGGGCCTAAAAATAGGAGGGGATGTGACAGGAAGTGGCTCTGGTGTGAAGAGTGGAGGCTCTGTGATCGGTGGCGGTGTGGCTGCAGCTGTTGCCACGGGCAACGGAGGCACTCCAATCGGAATGCCCCCTCCAAAACCTACATCGTGGGCTGCAATTGCTAGTAAACCTGCCAAGATGCAGCAACAAAAGATCAAGAACAAACCTGGAACACCCATAGCTGGAGGAGGTCTGCCTCCACCCAACATTAAACACAACATGGACATTGACACATGGGATAATAAAGGGACTATTAACAAAATGGCCCCTCCTCTGCCTCATCACCATCACCACCACCAGCACCAGCCTCAGCTTCACTCCCACGCTGCCAGTCTCATACCCCCCCTTCAGCAGTCCATACAGTCTGCCCAGTCCCTGGTGCAGCAGATGACCATGCAGGGTCCTCCACCTCCTCCTCCACAGTCCTACCAGAGCCACAACTCTGCCCCGACACCTCAGACCCGCTGGGTAGCCCCTCGCAACAGAAACTTGTGCTACGGGGGTGGAAGCTTGGACAGCAGTGGCTCCTCTAACGGTTGTGGTGTTGGTAACGGAATTGGAGGGGGTGGGGGTGTGCCCCCAGAGCCAGGGTCAGAGTCCCACCCTGTGCTGGAGAAACTGCGAGCGGCTCACAGCTACAACCCTAAGGAGTTTGACTGGAACCTGAAAAATGGCCGCGTATTCATCATCAAGAGCTACTCCGAGGACGACATCCACCGCTCCATCAAGTACTCCATCTGGTGCAGCACAGAGCATGGCAACAAACGTTTGGACTCGGCCTTCAGAGCAATGAACGCTAAAGGTCCCGTCTACTTGTTGTACAGTGTCAACGGCAGCGGCCATTTCTGCGGCGTGGCCGAAATGCGCTCGCCAGTGGACTACGGCACCAGCGCGGGTGTTTGGGCACAGGACAAGTGGAAAGGCAAGTTTGACGTGAACTGGTTGTTTGTTAAGGACGTGCCAAATAGTCAACTGCGCCACATCCGCCTAGAGAACAATGACAACAAGCCAGTCACCAACTCACGTGACACTCAAGAGGTTCCTTTGGAAAAGGCGAAGCAGGTGCTCAAGATCATCGCCCAGTACAAACACACCACCTCCATATTTGACGACTTCTCCCACTACGAGAAGAAGCAGGAGGAGGAGGAGGTGGTGAAAAAGGTAACAACCATACGTATGACTCTTTCATTTAAAGGAGACGTTAGAAGGCCGTTTGAAATCGACTGCCGGAAATGTTTTTTTTTTTTTTTTTTAAGCTTTCCACCAGAGGCAAAAATTATATTTTTAAATGAAATAATATTATTCATCTGGATCAATTTCTTTTAATTTCAGATTATGTAACCCAGTAAGATGTTGGCTTTTCCTCTTTAACTCTCCAGTGATCGTTGATTCTAAAATCATTATCACCCTTGCAGATGAAATATTAAAATATTGTGTTTTTAAGAGTTGTGAGATGTGCGTTTCTAATGGGAATTTTAAATAAAGCTTTGCATGTTTTTTTTTTGTTTTTTTTAACAGAGCTATGAACCTGCCCCAATACAGAGCCGGTCCCGAATGGATCAGGTAAAGTCTCTTTTCTCTTTTCTCTCT